GTGTGTGTGTGTGTGTGTGTGTGTCAATATCACAGTTAAAAACAGCAAAATTTGGAAATGTGGAAAAAAAAACCTGAGTAATTTGTATCATTTGGTATTAAAGGTAGTCATTTAACATTTCTGTTGTAAAACAGCTTTCAAATATAACATATTTAGCTATTTACATTAGGGATGCCCCGCTACTACATTTCTCTGCAAATAGGCGATTATTCAGAATGATATCTGCCAATACGAGTGCCAATAGTTTTGTTTTCTGCCGATAGTTTACAATAGACATTGGGAGACAAGTGTCTTACTGGCCAACAACCTGGTTTGCAACACTCTAATTCAATGGTTTTACATTTATGCATTTTGGTAGACACTTTCATCCAAAGCAACTTGCATTGAATTGAAGGTATAATCCATGTATGTATTCCCTAGAAATTGAACCTATGACTTTGGCATTGTTAGCAACATGCTGTACTGTTTCGACTACTGGAAAGCTATAGTTTTAGAGGGTTTTTGGGTCATTCTGGAAAAATGACTTGCCAGCCAATTGCACAATAGCTTGTCCAGCTTAGCCAGGCTGTGAGACCAGGAAAAAAAAAACATTTTGCACAGGCAAAAAGCACAATTTCTTTAGAAAGTAAAGAAAGTACAAAAATTTAGTCTGTTAGTTTCACTGTAATGTTTTGTTTTAATATTTTGTCTTTCTTGCATTGCATTCAGTTATAATGAGGGTAACACTCCAAAACGTTTCCCTTCACTGCATGAAAAACAAAGCATATTTGATAATGGCTAAATAAGAGTGAAATTATGGCATAAAAAGGTAATTAGACAAAAACAAAGCACTGTATTTTTTGTGGCATGCTTGTTAGCAGCCATATAGTCTTTCTGATGTTTTCCTACTAAAATGTGCAGCCTGTGCATTTTAGCACGGCTTATGTCATAAAAATGCTTAATGAATCTCTGTGACTCTACTAAATCACCAGCTGAGCACCCTGCCACTTCTGTTTTTCATTTTGACGATCACACCCATCGCTGTCTCATTTTTACGCTTTTCTTTGTGAATGTTTTTGTATCAATTCTGTTTCCACTTCAGTTTTGCAGTAGGAAAAAAAGCTCAGAATCAACTATCTGCACTGAATATGCTTATGAAACAAATGTTGTTGCGATCCCCTGGTGTGAATTACAGAATATCAGAGATATCGGATTTATTTTACTTTTTTTATTCACTTTCTTAATGCGCGTTTCTGTTTTTTCTTTACCTTTTAAATAAACTAATACAAAATTAAATGAAATGAGATGCATTTAATCAACCTTTTTAACTTTATATTAAATAATTTAGAGAATAAAGTATAACTGTTGCGCAAAAATATGAAATAGAACTGTTTTTACATTGATAAAAAAATCACTAAATTAGCATATTACAATGATTTCTGAAGGACCATGTGACTCTGAAGATAGGAGTAATGATGCTGAAAATTCAACTTTGTCATCATATAAATAAATTACATTAAATGTATATTCAAATCGAAAACAGTTATTTCAAATTGTAATCATATTTCATAATATATCTGTTTTTGCTGTATTTTAATAAAATTAATGCAGTCTTGGTGAGCATAAGAAACATCTTTCAAAAATATGAAAAAATCTTACCATCCACAAACGTTACCTACTCTGCCTCTGAAACCTTCTCTGCCTCAAGAAGCAATTATTTTCTTTAAGAATCACTTTGCCCACCAACCATCTTGCTCCATTCTGAATGATGATCCAATCGTTTCATTTCATCCAATCAAGTCCACTTGTTTATTATTGATTGTCCTGTTTCATTCTAAAGTACATCAGATTATAAAAGTAAAACTGGTTGCAGGAGGCATCTCACACATGCCGAAATGCATTGATTGAATCTAGAAACAATGATTTCACATCAAAGCTACTCAAGATACACCTGAGACTAATACAATGTCTGTCCTTCATCCACCTATAGCTAATAGTCTAAATGATAGAAGCTGTGATTGACATTGAGTACGTTTACATGAACAACAATACTCCGATTTTAATACGATTAAGACAATACTCTGATTGAGAATCTACCATGTAAACAGAGATTTTTGATTACCTTAATCCGGCTAAAGTCATAATCGAAGTAAACAGAAATCGAATTAAGACATGTGGAGTATTCCTATTTTAGTCACATTACTGAAGTGCAGAATAGACATGTAAACACCTTAATCACATTATTACCATCGTGTAGGACTTTTCGCCGCATTTTGCGACAGAATACACACATGGCAGTGCTCAACCGTTTGACGGCAAATAAAAGAGCTTCAACACCGCCATC